CACTTTAATTGAGCTTTTAAGCTTTGGTTTCCTATTCCAGTTTAGCAACAAAGGAAAGAAAATAATAAGAATGAAATTAGCAATAATTGGAGCCAGTCTCAGAAATAACCTTGGGGTTTCTTGGGCTTCTGGTGCAACCCCCTTTGAGCAGTTTCCTTGGATACATTCTCTTCCTGATCCCCAAAGGCCTGAAGTATTGGTGTCGCTTGCTTTTTCCTTTTCTTTTCTTCTCTTTTTTTAACCTCAGATGCCCTGCTAAAGAGAGCTGCAGGTCTAGGCCATGCAGGCAGGGATTCTCCAGGGACTAGAGCTCTAGGTCCAGAAAAATGGTGTTCCCGATCAGAAGGGCCAGATCACCCCTAGGAGTTCACAGCAGCCTTCCTTCTTGAAAATTGCTAACCAACCATTTTTCTTTTCAAAATAAACACTATTTCTCTCAACTTCAGTTTGCAAAATATTACCCCAATTCCACTGGACTAAAAAACTGGAATTTTACTGACATAATTGGATTATGAGGTTTAAAGATTGATGGAACTTTTCTGTTCCAAATATAATTGTTCAAATATCAAACCTAAACGGGTATGTAGAAGTCCTTATGTAGCTACAGCCAGAGTAACACTGTGGCCTCCACGGCAGGGTGGCCGAGCAGAAGGGGTCAGGAAGCCATTGGAGCTGTGAGCCCGGTTACAGAAGGATCTGGAGTCTTAGAGGAAGGTGTCACCTTTTCTGCAGCTGCAGCCTATCATTGAATGAAGACTGCTTTAGTCACTCTAGTTCCCTCTATGCCTGCTCACTTTTCAGATCTCAGCACAAGCACCAATGCCCTTGGCAGTTTGTTCATACTGATATGACAGCACTTGCGATACTCTGCAGTAATTTATCTGAGTGTAAATCTGTCTCCCTGAGAAAGAGTAAATTCCTAAAGAACAAGAATTGGGCCTCACTTGTCTCTGTATTTCCAGTAACTAACTTAGCACTTGGAGTATGTTACATGTACACATATAAAAATAATATATATAAATAGTTGTATATAGAAGACAGAAAAAGGAAGATGGCAAAGGTTTTACTTGGGAGTTTATAGAGTATGTATTAACTTACTCACAGCACATGTTTTTTAGCGGGTGCTGGGACTCATTCTGAGTTCTTCTGACATTAATTCGAAGGCACTGGACCCCTGAGCAGAAGAAATCCTAGTACTACAAACTCTTGTACCCAGTACCTCTCCCCTCTGTCACGACTCCGTCCAAATACCGTATCCCTACTGCCCATGAATGGCATTCAATTACTTCCTATGCTTTCAGCCAACTGTGATCAGTGGGTATTTGCCTATGCCCCGTACATGGATTTATGAAATTACCTAGTTTTAGCTAAACTAATCATTACAAATAGGCAAGTGGCTAAAAAAGATTATTACAAAGATCCACAGACTAAAGGTAATGCTCAACTATACTAATTCTACTACTACCATGAAAATAGAAAAGTTGACATTTCTTCTCCTCCCAATATAAATTCATCATCAGCCACATTACGATTTCAAAACAATGACCGTCAATCATACGTTATCCAGCAGGTCCTTAGGAAAAAATAAACACACTTACTCTGTATCTTCAAGGTAAAAGTGATGTTTTAACAATGAGAAAAAAAGTGATTGATTTCTAAACGAAAATAAAATAAGAAACTCAGATTTTTAAGACAACATTTTTAAAAAGGGTGTTTGAAATGTTAGACAATTTGGGGACCTAAAAATGATCTTAGAGTATAAACTGTAAAACTACTCATATGTATACACTTAAACTTCCTGACAGAATTTTCTAACTAGTTTTTAAAGATGCTAACTGAAGAATAACCAGATTATGAGCCCGTATTTAAAAAATCTAAAAAAAAATGTAGCAGCTTTCAATTAGTTCACAAGACCTGATGGACACGATGAAGGATGAAAAGTTATTAGCTGGATTATATTTCTGAATATAATTGGTTAATAGGACTAAAAAAAAATGAGTATTATGATTTAGTTAAGTTCAACTCACTTCTGCTGAGGTATCTTTTTCAGTTCTTTTTTTTTTTTTTTTAAATTTTTTTTTAACGTTTATTTATTTTTGAGACACAGAGAGACAGAGCATGAACAGGGGAGGGGCAGAGAGAGAGAGGGAGACACAGAATCTGAAACAGGCTCCAGGCTCTGAGCTGTCAGCACAGAGCCCGACGCGGGGCTCGAACTCACGGACCGTGAGATCGTGACCTGGCTGAAGTCGGACGCTTAACCGACTGCGCCACCCAGGCGCCCCTCTTTTTCAGTTCTGATAACCATTAAATCTAAAACTAAGTATCAAAATACATTGAACTTATAATCAGCTTTTTGTGTTTCTATATCGTAGGCTGTGAAAGCAAAAATTGAAAAAAAAATAATAAAGAATTTCAATCACACTGCTCTCACCAAAAGTAAAATTATTAATGTGAAGTTTTCTATACCTTTTTAAAGTAAACAGCTTTCTACACCTTTTTAAAGTAAAATAAAAATATCTTCAGAATTTATTTTATTCTCACTTTTCTACTTTTATGTATATAATGTACATGACAAATTAGCAAAGCAGTAAATATATTTGTGATTTTAAAATAAAGACATACACGTTATTGGGAATGCGTGTTCAAAAAAGTTTAGAGATTACCACTACAGGTACCAGGAAGCAGTTGAAAGATGTTAAGCCCAAGGAGTAGAATAAATCAGATTTGAATTTTAGAAACATAATGCTAGAGGTAATAGGCAAGGAAAAAGTGTTGGGAGGTGTAAGTGGATTCAAAAAGAAAACAAAACTCTGTTGCCATGCTCATAGCAGAGGGCATCCTATGAGCTCCCTGTATCTCTGGAACCTTTCACAGAACACATGAGCATGTTTTAAAAGAAGTCTTCTGCACAGCAAGGCCTCCTGCTCTGTGGTCTAACCCGGAAGGCAACGGGCGCCGAAGAAAAGGTGAGGTGGAGCTATGAGAAGCAACGGAGAACACGCTAGAAGGGCTGACTGCTGAAGTGCCTTATTATTTATCCATAGGCTAGGAATCAGGCTAGAAAAGGCTAAGCGCCTCTCTTTTCTGATATTCCCATTTATAATTTTTAAAAGACATAAAAGTTATTTTAAAAAGTAATTCGAAAAATGGAGCAATTTACAAATCGAAGTAAAATACTGCCTCCCTACCCCCAGCTATTCCACCGAGTCCACACATGATAATCACCGTCAACAGTTCGATGTATTTCCTTCCAGACCTTTTTCTGTACATATACACTTTTATATGTGCAGATACATGTATGCATGTGTATACACGCACATTTGGAGAGCATTTTTATATGATATATTTGGCAAGATATTATGGTCATCCTTTTAGGACAGTCCACATGGATCTAGCTCTTGACGGCGGCTTCTGGAATGCTACCTTGCTGACATGACACAGGTTATTTAACCATTCCTTTGTTGAGGGACATTGGAAGTGTCACTTTTACAACGGAGCAGCAATGAACATTCTTATACATCTATCCTTGTACACTTCTTTGGGTAGGATGGATTCCTGGAAGTCAAGTTTTTGGGTGAAAGGGTAGGTACATTTCAAATGTTGATAGTTACTGTGGAATGGCTACACTGACCTATAGCACAAACAATAAAGTTCAGGCATTCATTCTCATTTATGAAAATGAGAAAATTTATGAAAAAAATTCATAAAATTTTTTTTATGGATTCCTAGGTTTAGGAAAAGATCTCAGAAAACAAGCCCCTCAATTTGTATATGAGAAAACGAAGGTTCAGAGAGGGTAAGGTTTGGGCCCAAGATCTAAAGCCCAGGATGAGATAACTGACCAGCAGGAGTTCTGTGAGTGGTGGTCACAGCTGAAAGCCAGGACAGTAACTTCAGTTAAGTGACATCAAATATAAAGTGTGTTCCACCAATAAGTAGGAAAGGGGACTGTCATCTCCTTTTCCTTGCTTACGCTTGGCAAGAAAAAAAAAGGCAGTAAATTCCTAAAAGATACAACAGCAAGAGGGGGCAGAGAAGGAGGATTCTCAAACTAGGTGGAGTAACGGGCACTGAGCGTGAAGGGATCATAAGTTCAGCCGCAAGAGGCGAGCAAGTGTGGTGGAAACGACTCTGACATGGGATGACCTTAGCGAAAAACCTTCCACAGCCTCAGTGGGTTGTACGAAAAGTTTCTTGGTTCTAAATATCTCCATGTGGCATCCAAAATGAATGCCAGTACCGAAACCAAATTCTGAAGAGAAATATCAGAAAAGAACTAACATCCCACAATGAAGAAACATCTTCAAAGAAGATGTTGTTATAAAAATACCACAAAAGTACTTTCCAACAAATTCCAGACCTAAAAGTAAAGCTTTAAAATGAAGCTCCAAGCACAGAAGCTTTGAATCCTTTGCTCTGTGCCTGAAGAGGCCCATGTGAAGGAAGGTACTTCTGACCAGATAACACTGTCTTTATTCAACCAGACCTATGGGGCATAACAAGGAGAAAAAAAGATGGCAATTGTATCTTTTGAAATTAGAATGGTCTAGAAGAGAGGTGGGCATACTTTTTCTCCAAGGGCCAGAGAGCCCTTTGCACACCATATGGTCTCTATTGCAACTATTCAACCTAATGTTGTAGTACAAAAAGACAGCCATAGAAAAAAATATAACCAAGTAAGCATGGTTGCGTTCCAATACAACTTAATGGATGCTAAAATTTGAATTTCATATAGTTTTCATTAAGGATTCTTTTCATTTTGACTTTTTCCAATCACTTAAAAATACAAAAACCATTCTTAGCTCTTGGGCTGTACATAAACAGGCAGTGATTTAGTGCACCATAATTTGCCAAAATTTGGTACAGAGCACTTAATTCTCAATAGAACTGAACTTGAACGTTGGTAGAAAGATGGAAATATCTGAGCCTCGTCCCTAAGAAGTTAAGTTTGAAGTTAGGTAGAAACGTGTTGTTCTTAAAGAGCTTCAGATATTTACCTTAAATCTCTTCTCTTGCCGAATTCCTCTGGTGGGATTGTCCAGGGCAGACCTTGAGGGAGACAGTCTAGAACTTCTGAAGAAAAATCAGAGAAATCCACACCATACTCTGTTAGTATTCCTTCTGTTTCAGGCTCAATTTCACCAGCCTGCCCAAGACTCTTAGCCAGATGCCTGTGGACAGGACAGAGAGGAACAACTATGTTAGTGAATAAATGGACCATAGGCATCATTTATTCTCTAAAAGAGAAGGCAGTAGGAAATCTTCAAAACCTCCTGTCCGAATTTCCCCAGCAAGAACACCATCACCAGTGAGTAGGGGGCCAAGGAGAAGAGACAGTGATACTCTTGTCCTGTTAAATCCCTGTCTACAGTATAATTTTAACTTTCTTTGGGAATTCTGATGCGGGGAGTTGGGCCAGCTGGCCTTTCTTGGGCCTCTTGCAATTGTTTTTCATGAAAAAGTCAAATTGATATCGGTAAAAGCCTTTTGTCAATTCCTTCTCTTGCAAACACCTTTAGAGACAATTCTGATCAGCTCAGTTTACTGTTAAGTCATTAGTTTCATAGCACCTACACATTAAGTCATGCTCACTAGATTGAATCTGACACTTACATATTTTTCACAATTCTAATTTTTACCTTAATACATTAAATATTTTCATCTGAACATATAAGTAATATATGTTTACTGTAGAGAAGTTAGAAAATACAGAAATGCACCAAGAAGAAAGTTAAAATTATCTATAATCTGGTCATTTGGCAAACCACCATTCACATTTTGGGATGTTGGTCTATTAAAAGTAAGATTGCATTTAATAGGCTAGTTCTGATGCTATGGGTAGGGTTCCACCCTTTAGAAGGCAAATATCACTCTTCATCTGTGGGTCATATAAAACAAAACTGATAGTGCTCAATTCTCCTAAGTATTGGCATGCTATGTTCAGACTATAAGCCTTAAGTTAGGTGTTGAATAGGAGATAGTCTTCCTGTAAGGAGTTTAGATCTGGCATTAGGGCTGTCTCTGGAGCCATTCAATTTCTTTGAAGAAGATTCTGTATCCTTTGTAAGGGTAGATGCCTGGCTGTCAGAGCTCTTAAGTGCACAGTGGTAGAGGGAGAGACTGGGGATGCGGTGGCCTCATATGCAGACTTCTAATGAATTCCCATCTTCAGGCTTGCTACTGGAACTAGGCAGTGGTGGCAGCAGGGAAGCCTGCCACGTGCCAGCCAAGAGAAGCCAGCCCATAGTTGGCACACACAACTGCCCACCAGCATAGGTTCGAGGCAGCCTGCAGGTTGCCTGTGGGCTGCTCACATATAACATAGGCTCAGACCAGTGCTATGTTCTCCGACTTAGGCGGTGATCTCCCAGAAAGCATACCAAAAAGCCAAAGGCAGCAAAAATATGAGGGAAAAAATACAGAAAGCTGTCAGGAAGATCCATAAATATTTGGAAATTTAACAACCAGTGGGCTAAAAAAAAAATCAGAAAATATTTCAAAATGAATAAAACACAATATGTCAATATTTGTGAAAAGCAGCTAAAGCATTACTTTGAGGGAAATTTATGTTTTAAATAAATGCTCATATTAGAAAAGAAGAAATGTGTCAAATCAGTGATCTAAGCTTCTATCCGAAAAAATTGAAAAAAGAAAAGCAAGTAAGATCCCAGGTAAGCAGAAGGAAGAAAATAATTAAGAAATAAGGATCACTGGACAGAAAATGAAGAATAAAGAAAACCAATAAAATCAAAAGTTGATTCTTTGAAAAGAGAATAAAATAGATAAGTTTCTAGTGAGGCTAATCAAGAATAAGAAGTTACCAGAATCAGGAATGAGAGAGGAAACATCATTATAGATCCTACAAGCATTAAGAGGATAAGAGAATTATGAATGGCTTTAAGCCAATACATTCAACAACTTGCATGGAATGGATAAATTCCTTGAAAGACACAAACTGCCTAAGATTATTCAAACCGAAACCAATATCTGAATAGTCCTATATCTATTTTAAAAACTGAATTCATAGTTTAAAACCTTCCTACAAAGAAAACTCCACGCCCAGATAGCTTCACTGGCAAATGCCGCCATGTACAGCATTAAGAAAGAATTAATACCAATTCCATACAAACTATTTCAGAATACAGACAAGGGTGGAACACTTTCCAACTGGTTTCATGAAGCCAGCATTACCTTGAAACCAAAATCAGACAAAGGATTCATGAGGTCAATATCCCTCGTGAACACAGACTGAAAATTCTTATGAAATGTTAGCAGACAGAAATAGCAATACAGTTGACCCTTGAACAATGAGGTTGAACTGTGTGGGTCTACTTACCAGAGATTTTTTTCAATGGGTAAATACAGTATTGTAAATGTATTTTCCCTTCCTTATGATTTTCTTAACATTTTCTTTTCTCTAGCTTACTTTGTTGTAGGACTAGAGTATAAAATACACATAACATACAAAATATGTGTTAATTGGCCGTTTATGTTATCGGTAAGGCTTCCACTCAATAGTAGACTATTAGTAGTCAAATTTGGAAAAAGTCAAAAGTTATATACAGATTTTCAACTGTGTGAGACTTCAGTGCCACTATCCCTGCATTGTTCAAGGGTTAACTGTATATAAAAAGGATAATACATCATGACCAAGTAAAGGTTTAAATATGTATGTATTTTTAATATTTATTTATTTTGAGAGAGAGAGAACACACAAGCAGGGCAGGGGCAGAGAGAGAGAGAGAGAGAGAGAGAGAGGGAATCCCAAGCAGGCTCCACATTGTCAGTGCACAGTCCAATGTAGGGCTCAAACTCACGAACTGTGAGATCATGACCTGAGCTGACATTGAGAGTTGGATGCTTAACCAACTGAGCCACCCAGGCACCCTGATGACCAAGTGAAGATTTAAAGATTTGTCCAACATTCAAAAATCAATATAATTTACCATATTAGCAAAAAATGAGAAAAATATACAATCATTTTGATAGATGCAGAAAAAGCATTGGACAAAATTCAACATACATTCATGATCAAAACTCTGAATAAATGAGTAATGAACAGGAAATCCTCAACTTGATTAATGGCCCCTATGAAAACTCTAGAGCTAATAGCAAAACTTAATGGTGACATACTAAATGCTTTCCTCTGGGCCAGGAAGACAACAAGGATGTTAACTCTCACCAATATTATTAAACATGGTATTGGAGGTCCCACTGAGTGCCATAATGCAAGAAAAGGAAAGAAAAAGCATACAAATCAGAAAAGAAGACTTCTACGTGACATGTAAATGGGCCAAAGAACTACAGTTTCCATTAAAGAAATGACTAGTCTGCTACATAATGCCAGGCCTTTATAGAAGACCCCTCTCATTCTATGAAAACCAGAGGCCAGCACGCTGTGTATGATTTAGACTCTGCCATAACTCATGACTTTGAATGTGGAGAGAATGACACAAAAACCAAGAGGTGCTTAAGATTCATTCGTGGCAGCCGGATGGTTTCCAGTGATAGCAGTGGTAGTAGCAGTGTCCAGTGGCAATGTTGTTCTGAGAAAGCACTGGTAGGAACCATTGGCATTGTGGCCAAACTAATCCTGATAAAAGATGATGATTGGACTTCTTGTCCTTGGCTCTCCAGATTTGCCTTTGTTCTCACCTACAATTTTCTTAAATATTCAAGATTCTTACTAATTTCTGTGGGTGGCGCCTGGGTGGCTCAATCGGTTAAGCGTCCTACTCTTGATCTCAGCTCACGTCTTGAGCTCAGGGTCATAAGTGTAAGCCCCACAGTGGGCACGAAGCCTATTTAAAGAAAAAAAAAAAAGGAGGGGGGGTACCTGGGTGGCTCAATCAGTTAAATGTCCAACTTCAGCCTGGGTCATGATCTCACGGTTCATGAGTTCGAGCCTGCATCAGGCTCTGTACTGACAGCTCAGAGCCTGGACCTGCTTCAGATTCTTTGTCTCCCTCTCTCTCTGTCCATCCCCTGCTCACACTCTGTCTCTGTCTCAAAAATAAACATTAAAAAAAAAAAAAAGAATCTAGACATGGGGCTCTTGGCTGGCTCAGTCAGTTGAGGATGGAACATTTGATTTTAGGGTTGTCAGTTTAAGCCTCACATTGGGTGTAGAGCTTACTTAAAAATAAACAAAAGGTTCTATACAGTTAAAGACTCAAGTCTCATTAATTTTCAAAATGACTACATTATTACCTGTGTTCACTAGAATGAAATTCCTATTGAGGATTTAAGGAATCTGTTGTCACTGCCTTTGAAGTTTGAAGGACATTTTGGAAATTAATGGGACCTGAGTTACTTCCAACCCATCTATTATTCTCATAGGTTCCTGAGGTTCTGTTTTCTACATTCATCTCCTAAAACTAATGCCTTTATCTGTCTGGGTTCTTGGTTGCAAGCACAAGAAACTAACTGAATGGAAAAGGAACTTATTGAAAAGAAATCAAGGAGCTCACAGAAAGTGAGAGGCTTGAAGAACCTGAAAAAGGGATGTAAGCAAAGAGTTACATGGTCAGCCTCTAAGTCCTTGATTCCAGGCTAAGCTGAAAACTCAGGGACTTCCTATGTATATCAAACAGGTATTTTGTTTTTGTTTTATTTATTTATTTATTTATTTATTTATTTATCTATTTATTAATTATTTGAGAAGGAGACAGCATGAGCAGAGGAGGGGCAGAGACAGGAGAGGACAGAGGATCTGAAGTGGG